CCAGGCAACCGGCCGGGGGACCACTCGCGCCAGCTCCCTGCTCCTTCCCACGCGCACCTCCTGGGGTACCCCCTTCCCCAGCCCCGGGCCCCTCCCGCCAACGGTCACCGGGGTTCCTGGCAGAGGCAGGGGGTTGGGTGAAACGGAGAGGGATCAGCGAGGAGAGGCAGGTCCAGGGTGAGGGGCAATACTGGGTGGACGCACCCCTCCGAGCGTAGAGGGGAGGGGAGATGAGGCAAAACTGGGGGAGGCTGCAGGGTGGGGTTTCAAGGGAAGGGAGTCTGCAGAGTCGCTCTGCCACAGAAATTGGTACTGGAAGGCTCAAGGGTCCCTGGAAAGGAAAGCCAGGCCTGGGAGGGAATCACCAGGGGGCAGGGCAGAGGCCGCAGGGGTGTCTGAACAGTAGGAAGGGGCTGGGGCAGAGTCCCAGTGAAGACAGGGTGGACCATGGCAACAATCAAAGGGGCAAGTGGTTTTCCTTCCCAGCCTCACTGCTCGTAGTCCCAGGGTGGAGACCTCCCAACCTTTCTGCAGCCACACCATCAGCCATCTCCTCAGGGCCTTAGGGATGTTGGTATTTGGCTGGGTTCTAGGAACTGTTTGGGTTTCTAACCCAAGCCTCTTCAAACCTGCAATAGGGGCTATTCTGGGCCTGTCCAGATTGGGTACCTCCCACTCCCACCTCTGGGAGGGAGGAGCCCGAGCTGCAGAAGGCAGGACAAGGCTGCCACCCATAGCAGCCCCAAGAAACCCCTTGGGGGTGGGGGTGGAGGGGGCAGCGATGACGACAGGGACTTTGGTGAGAGGAATTCATTCAAGCCAGAGCCAAGTTTTTATTTAAAATTTATTGTAATGGGATCCACGCCAAGAGGAGGGGGTGAAGGGTAGGGAACATGCAGGGAACACAGGAACACGATGACATGGCCAGGGCCACAACTTCTATCTTGGGGGAGAGGGATGAAAAGGCCAGGGCTGGAGCTGGGGTGGAAGAGGAAAGGGGGAGACACTGCAGCTGCCTTCCTCCACCCCCAGGCAGCACCTCTAGTCCTGGACCTCCCCATTTACCCTGGCCGCCTCAAGTTCCATTTCTTGTCCTGCCTCCGGCCCATGTAGCTCCTTTTGCTCCCCTTGACTTGTTCTCTCAACAGATTCTTAAGGAGTATGCTTAGGGCTGACCCTAAACAACCCGGCCTTACGAAGGTACAAACCTTTGCCTTCCCTGCTTCTGCCCCTTCTCAAATCTCACCTTTTCCCCTCTCTAGGACAGAATCTTTGATTCCCCTCCTTTCTCTCCTCCCTCCCCCTGGAAAAAAAAAAAAGCACCAACTCCCCAGGGAGGGGCAGCAGACAGTAGGGGGGACTGGAAGGAGAGCAAGGACCACCAAGGGAGGAGGCTCACAGATCCCTGGCAGGGCGGGGCAGGGGGTTACAGAGAGGAGAGGGGTGAAGGCAGTGGCCGCTCCCGTCCTCTGTCATCCCTGCCCACTGTCCAGGGGGCTTGAACACAACCAAGGGGACAGGTGTGTGTGGGGGCAGGTCTGATAGGGAGAAGAGGAGCAGGAGAAACAAATCGTTAAAACCTAGTGAATTCCCCTAAGAAAACATTTCTTCCTCCTTTCCTTCAGGAGGCTCCTTGGGTGGTGGGGGAAGCAGTGAGTTGTTGATGGGAAGAGAGGAGGGGGAAAGGATACCAAGGGACTTTCCTCCATTCTCCCCCCTTCCCCTCCCCAACTAGGAGTTCACCAAGGCTGGGAGGGAAGTGGCTGAGAGCTCACAGGCACCCCCTCAGCCCCAGAGAGGGAGCCCACAGCTGTGGGAGGGGCTGCCACTGATGCAGCTGCTGCTGCTGCTGCCGCCGCTGCTGCCGCTGCCGCCATTGGACAGACCTCACCGGTACCTGCGTGGAGAAAAACATCAGATCACAGCGCCATCTGAATGGCAAGAGCCTTGCCCCTGGCCCCAGACTCCCTCCCCTGGGACACAGCCGTTGCTCACTTCCTGTTTGGTCCCCAGAGGCTTCGGCCTGCATCCTTACCCAGTTCTCCTGAAGGGCCCTCTCTGTTCCCAGAAGTCTCTCTGACCTGAGTGACAGATGGACATCCCTGGCCTTCCTGAGATCCCCTACTGGGCCCCTTGAGCCCCCTTGTCCCACACACACCATCTCCCCCAAGCCATGTCCCACGCCTTGCCTGGTGGGTGCGGGGGTCCCCCTCAGCAGGTGGGCTGTGCCTGGGGGGCATCTCCCGGGACAGGGGGGGTGGCCCCCCCTAGATGGGTCTGCATGTGGCCGGCCAGCTGGGCAGGGGTCTTGCAGTGCACGCTGCACAGCTTGCACAGGATGCGGTCAGCCCGCGGGGCCTGGAGCCCATGGTCCTTCACCGCGTGGATGCGCAGGTATGCTGCCGTGGTGAAGCCTATGGGGGGGGGGGTTGGATTGGGATGGGGGGATGGGGTCAGCCACGTGGAGACCCCAGAGACGGGGTTATTCTCCTAGGCTGGGGACACTCTCCTCAGATGGCCCTGTCCTCCTCCCACATCCTTGGTAACCTGGGGCCAACTACTCTGCTGGGGCTGGTAGGTCGCAGCCCCACCCTGACCTGTGAGATGCCGCACATCTCACAGGCGTGGTCTCCCTGGACACTAGTTGAGTAGTGTCCGCTCCTTGGCATTGGTACCCAGAACCCATCCTCTGTGGCTGAGGGATCTCTCCTGGGGTGACAGGCCACTGATTCCTAGCCACTTGAAGGGTTGACCCTCAGTAGAGACGGCTGTGTCCCCTCCCTCCAGTGCCCCATGTCTCAGCCTAGTTATTCAGTGAACAAGCAAATCTTTTTAAAAGCAGCTTTCTCTGCTATTGGGGCAGGGTGCATGCTTGTTAAACTCCTGCCAAAGTACTCCACTTGTCGCAGGAGCCGAAGATGAGAAACTGTGGCTGCACAGCTGAAACCTTGTCTCTCAACCCTTGGGCACTGGCTCTTGACCATTCCTTCCCCAAACAGCCATGTCCCATGCCCATTCTCCCCACGCACACACACAAGTTGACTGTTTCTAGTAGATCATCTCTTCCAGCCACGACCTCTTAGAACTTAATGACGTGCAGTGGGCCCAATGTTGCTTCATTTGCTTCCTAGCGGGCTCTAGATGCCACGAGCTGTTACAGCACCTTTAACTCACATCTGTGAAAGGGCCTCTGGCTCTGTCCCCACCCACTGCCCCTGGCCCCCCCAGCATCCCTCAGCATGTACCTTTGTTGCAGAGCTCACAGACATGGTGAGGGCCCTGGCTGTGCACCTTCATGTGGTCCGAAATATAAGCCGAGCTCAGCATCTTGCCACATACGTGACATGGCACCTTCTCTTCATGTCGTACTGTGTGCGCCCTCAGTCGATCCTTCGTAGCAAAAGCTGCCTCACATTTCTGGGGAAGGGGGAGGGGTGTGGGGGGTGTCAGGAGAGTTAAAGCTTCAGGGAGTGGGGAGAGGGGAACAAGAGGTTAAAGGAATCAGGGCCTTGGGGATCTTTGATCTGTAGGAAATGGGAGTGAGACGATGAGGCCTTGAAGAAGGGATGAGAAAATGGAGTGAAAAAGCAAAAAGAGAGAAAAAGGGGGTCTGAGAGGCTGAACTCAGACAACTACAATGAGGATCAAAATCATGAAAACCAAGACAGGAAGAGGGCCTCCTACCTCGCATTTGAAGGGCCGTTCTGTTGAGTGCACTTGTCTGACGTGACTGTTGAGGTGATCCGGCCTGGGGACACGTTGGGGATGGGTTAGGCCCTGTGCTGTAGAGACGCCCCCACGGCTGCCTAACCTAGTACAGGAGCCCTTTCCCAGGTCCCTGCATTTCCTCCCAAGCCCGGGCACCAGTCCTAGCTGGGCAGGACACCCCTCCCCTGGAGCAGGGCTGCCTTGTCCACGCCACGCTTTCCAACAATCCTAAGACCCACCCCCTTTGCTAAGTACCACCCCCTGCTCCCTGGTAACCCAGAGAGGCTCTTCCCCCTCCTCCCTGGGAGTGGCTCCCAGTCCCCATCCTCAGAAACCTCCTCCCTCCCCACCAGCCAAGGCCAGGCCACCTCCATCGCAGTCCCTCCCTCCCCGCGGCCTAGTGAGCGGCCAAGGCCTGGGCCCCGTGCACACCGGGCCCCGTGCACACCGGGAGAAGCTCTTGCCACAGTGGGAGCAGTTGTAGGGCTTGTGCACAGCGCCGTCATGTGAGCGCACGTGGTAGCTCATGCGGTCCTTGCGCTTGAAGCGCTGTTGGCACACAGGGCACTGGTAGGGCTTCTCGTCGGAGTGCGACAGCTTGTGTCGGTTCAGATGGTAGACGTCGCGGAAGGCCTTGCCGCACATCTCACAGGCGTGGTTCTTCCGGATGCGCTTTCCCGAGGCGGTCGTGGTCACTACGCCACCGGCGGCCACGGCAGCCGCTCCGCCGCCTGCACCCGCTTCTCCCCCTCCTCCGCCGGCTCCGCTCAGCTGGGGCACGCTCAGGAGGCTCAGGGGCACCATAGTGGGCATCTTCATAGCACCCGAAGGCACCCGGCCGGCCTTGGCTCCCGTGTGGATGGCCTCGTGCCTCCGGAGGTTGTAGCCGTTCTTGAACTCCTTGGCGCACAGGGCGCAGATGTAGGGCCCCTTGCTCTTTGTCTTCTTCTCCAAGGCAGATGCAACCGAGGCCACGGCGACCGTCGAGGTTGGGGACACGACGGCGGTGGCTGCGGCTGCGGCGATGGTG